GGTACTGTTTGATATATGCATGCAAATGCATCTAGTGCCAAATATTCAGAGGGGCTGGGTGGGTGCACAAAAGCATACAGCTTCTTTAAAGTCCTGTGAGAGAGCAACCTGTGTGTCTCAAACACCAGGAGTTAATGTACCCTAGGTAAAAGCTCACTTACAGATCAGGCATCTCTAATTTGCCTTCTTTCCAAGAGTATTTTCAGTGCTCATACCTCTGCTTCACAAAAAAAGACTTTAAAGGTCTGAGTAGTGCATTAGGTAGGGTGGCTTTGTTACAGTTTAGTAAAAGATGAGAGTAGCTTTTTAATCTTTTTCCTTACAGCTGATTGAGCTTGACAGTTCTTCTGAAGAATATAAGAAAGTCAAGGTGGGCTTTCAACGCACAATGCCCACAACAGTTATTAAAAGGATTCGTAGAGTTCAGAACCCATCTCTCTGGGAACTGTATCAGTGGTATGTGTAAAATACTGTTCTGGTATGTGTGCATGAAGTTTGTTGTTTCTGCAGTTAGCTGTATGCTAAAGATAGATGCGTGCAATCTTGAAATGCTGTTGCATTTAAGAATCTGCTTCCACTCCCTAAACTGAAATACCTAGCCAGGATCAACATGTAGGTAAAGTGGTACTGAAAAATACAAAACTTGGTCAAAATAGAGAGTTTTGAATAGTCAGCTGAGCTCTGTGGGAGGAATTCTTGAACTTGCATAAATCATTCTGACTTCTGCCAGGCCTCAGTCCAGGACAGCTGCCTTCCACTGAAGCCTTGAAGCTGCTAATCATTTGCATCTGGCACAAACACTGGTTTGTAGCTGGTCAAAACTGAAGCAGCCTTCAAAATTAAATTGAAAACCCGCTGAGGGAAAGCTTTAATGTGAATTCCTGTGTTTAGAAAAAAATAATGCCAGGGTTTCCCCCCATCTCCCAATAGGCAGTGAACAAAACAAAACATTTTTATTATTAAATATCTAGAGGCATTTGTGTGTAGTGAAAGCATGTTTGTATGCAACTAGACAGCAAGGTACCCTCTGTGCTCAAAGTCTAGGCCTTAACATAAGGATTGTCAGAATATACTCTTTGTCTAAAATTGTCTCTGAGTGCTGGTATGGCTGGAACCTGTCTGGCTTCAGCCACAAAGGAACTGCAAATAGTCTGTTTCTTATTGCAGGCAGAAGGAACAAATGCAGAAGAGCAATGGTGGAAATGCTGTGGATGAGCGATCTTTATTTCATGGGACCAGCAGAAAATACATTGATGCCATCTGTCAGCAAAACTTTGACTGGAGGATCTGTGGCCTTCATGGGACAGTCTATGGCAAAGGTGGTTTTTCAGCTCCTTCACTAACCTTAGACTTGCTGAAATATTCTCTGCAGAGCTGTAAAGTTGGGACACTCAGCAGCTCTAGGGCTTATCTCTGATGATGTGGACAACGTAGCACGCAGCTGACTCTGGCAATATGATCATTTGGAGCTAAGGTACACTGAAGGGCCTTGGCCTCTAAGCTGCACTCTGGCCTTGCAAGAAGACAAGCATAGGAGAGGCCAGCTCTAGGGATGATTTTCCTAGAGCCCAGGCCTACTTGTGTTCTAATTTCTCCAAGCTCCTACAGGAAGGCAACATGCCATTATGAGTCTTTTGGGGGGTTGTTGTTTGTTGTTTTTTTTTTCCAGGTAAATAAATACCATCCTCGTTGTAGGCTTTTTGCATTGTTAGCAAATTACATTCCTTTGCATTGTCCTGTGTACAGGAAAGGATCAACAGACCAAGGGGAATAGGCAGGCTGACTGACCGACTACCAACCCATCCAATCGAATACCTTCTAAATCTCAGAAATGTGCTAATGAATAATAGTGGCCTCTGTGAGGAGAGAAAGTTGGGTGAGATTGGGAAAGGTGGACACCTAGAGTCAAGAGGAAATCTTGAGGAATATGATAACATTTAAAACATTACTTTTGTGTGGCTTTATATGCGTGCTGTGAGAAACAAGTGTATAGGTCATTTTCACTAAGAAGGACATACAGGACATACAAAGGCTTTGGGAAGGCCGTTCATGAACTGCTTAATGGATTTGCTTATGAATTTGCTTTCACATTGTATCATTTCCTTTTCTGTAAGTTGGTGTCTTATCAACTCTGTCTTGGTGTCTCTTCTGCAGGAAGCTATTTTGCAAGGGATGCATCTTATTCTGACAGCTACTGCAGGGAAGGCTCGCGCACCAAGATCATGTTTCTGGCCCGGGTGCTGGTGGGGGAGTTCACTGTTGGTGATTCTTCCTATGTTCGGCCTCCCATGAAGGACAGATACAGCTTCTATGACAGTTGTGTGAATAGCTTTTCAAACCCTTCTATCTTTGTCATCTTTGAGAAGCAGCAGATTTATCCAGAGTATCTCATAGAATACATTGACCAGGCATATGCTAAAATGCTGTAGCACTAAAACCTGTCATCATTATGTTTAACTGGTATAAACTTTTTTTTTAGCACTGGCTTAAGAGAGAAAAAGTGATTTTTAGAAGTTATGTAATTGGATAGGTGAGTGTTCAGAAACATTATTCTCCATCTGTTCTGTGCAATAGAAAATTAGAAGACAGAAAGAATGTCTTAGAATTCTTAAAATCCTTCCTTTGTCTCTTATTCTTTATCAGGTTATCACATTCCCATGCATTACTAGAGACTTATAAATTTATTAGATTAATTCACTGATGATTAGCAATGACTGGTAAGTTTAAACAATATTTAGTTATAATTATTTCAGGATCTTTGTATGTGCTCATTGGTCAGAGACTCTTTTCTACCTGTTTATATTTTAACTCAACATTTGATAAGACCTGCTTTTTTAGTAATCCATCTCCTGCAAGTGTTTGCAAATAAGACTGTACAATCTCTATGATCAACTCATTGTATAAATTCTTAGCAGCACTGGGTTTTGTCCCTACTTAATCTTCACCAACGAAGCCTCAAAAGTTAAACTGGATTGTTGAGAATGAACAGAGTTATTTTAACCTGTTAATTTTCTCATTTAAAACATGTACCAAAGACACGAAGCACAAGGGTTGCTTGGTGCTGTACTACTCAACTGACCTACTCCATCAAATAAAAGATGTATTTTAGGTCTGTGAGAACACAAGTTTTTCATTACTTTGTACCTTTGTTTGAGAGTGTGTTGGTATGGGAGGGAGAAGAGAAGGCAACTAAGAGGCCATTTAAGAATATCATACTTAGGAGCAAAATGCACTGCTTGATTAGCAGCACCCTTTTCCTGTGGAGCACCTTCATGGTTTTCTTACAGTTGTTAGGATTGACAGTGGGTGACTGTCTCTCAGGAGTACAGCTCTCTAGTTGCAGGAGATGATACACAGGTTAGCAGTGTAATCAAGGGGTCTTTAAACATTCTTGCAGGAAAAGTGTGCTTACCTAGGGACTGGTCTTCAGCCACAGAGCTGAAATGTTTAAAAATCTGAAGCTGAAATGTTTAAAGAAATGTTAAAAAATCTGAAGCTGAAATGTTTAAAAATCTGAAGATTACATTGAATATTTAATTGTTCCCAGAGAAGGACATTATAGCATTGAGCAGTTAGCATACTTATATGCAGATAGTAAAACTTGACCCATAAAGTGTTTCTTAAGATTAAAGTTGCTGATGCATAGACAGATAGTTTATCACAGCTTTAATGTTCCTAAATGAGTGCTTGGTAACTGTAGTGTACTGCCAAAGCCTTAAGATACACTTTGTATAGGCTCTAGAAAATCTCAACCTATATTCTAGAAGCACTTCCTTTTTAATTCATCTGGATGATGATTGACACTGGGTAACTCCTTATTACTTCAGCACTGTGAACCAGGAGCTTAGCCACGATTCGCTGGTGTAAGGCTGTGCAGAACTCGTTTTATGTGAAATGTGAAACTAGCAGCATGATATTTAAAGGGAAGTACTCCCATTTGTATTTAACCCACTAAAACACAGGATGTTGGAAAAGCAAGTTGACTATATTCTTTCTTTGGAAAGATTTATAATAGAGCATATGTGACAAGCTTATTTGCTGACAGAAGTTTTGTCAGCGTTGAGGGAGGATAATGTTATGTATGAAAGCTTTCATACCTGTGCAGAATCAGATTTTTCTGCCAAAACAAAATCATGCTCGTCTACACATTCATGGCAGATGAGAATACTGGTAAGCTTTTCTTCCTCAGAGTATAACCAGCATTTCAGCTAAGGACTGAAATGGCAAAAGTCATGTTAATCTTTTGCTAGAAAATTGAAACAAGCATCTTTTTCCTACCAAAAGAAGATTTTTTTTAGTAACTTTTTATGGCTAGAAATATTTTTAAAGACTTTATTCTTGGAGAGGATATGTATGTGTGTATGTGTATGGAAAACATGGCTGGTTGTGTTATTTTGTCATCTATCTCTCCATTATCACACAGAAAGTAAAAGTTACCATGTTTTCCATTTCTGAAAATGCAGTGATAACTTTCTTGTGTGTAGTAAATAAACAGACATTCAGACCACTAGATTCCTTGTCCTGGTTTTCACTCTCAATACTGAAAGCACCATGTTTTGCTATATCTCCGAGTTCTTGGAAATTTTATTAAAGATGCTGCTCCTAGGTAAGGGAGTCCCTGTACAGCTGATTGGATTGCATTTGAAAATGAACAGATTAAAAAGTCATTTCCATTAAATCTAAACTTTCAACAAAAATTTATATTGAACCTCATTTCTGAGTGAGGGCATTTCTTGGCTACTTAAGACAAAACTGAGAAGCAACAGTGTAATAATCTCTTACTCAGTCTTACATCATGTGAGGAGAGGCTGTGAAGATTGTTCCTGTTTTTGATAGCAGGTCCACTCTTGCAAGTTCTTTACTATGAGGGTGGTGAGGTGCTGGCACAGGGTGCCCAAGGAAGCTATGGCTTCCCCATCCCTGGCAGTGTTCAAGGCCAGGTGGGACATGGCTTTGAGCAACCTGGTCTAGTGGAATGTGTCCCTGCCCATGGTAGGGAGTTGAAACTGTATGAACTTTAAGGTCCTTTCCAACCGAAACCATTCTATGAAGACAGGTGGCAAACTAGCAGAAGCAAATAACTTTGATGTGCCAGTAGTGCAGTATGGAGCAGGGTCATTTATGAACCCCTTGCTCCTAACCCACGGGCCTGGGTCAGGGCCTGGCAGCCAGCCATGGTTAACCCACCACACCATTTAATGGGTTTCATCTGTAATCAGGTTTGTCATGGTATTCTGCCTGGATTTTATGAGATGTAGGTGTTGGCAGCAGCAAAGGACTGGCAGTACACTACCTGCAGCCTGAAGAAGTAGGGGTGGTGGGTAAGAGTAACTTAGGTGTATGGAACACGCCAGTTACGGTAGTGTGCTCAGTGCTAGAGAGGACTTGCATTTTGCGTCTAAGAAACTGCTGTACAGCATTGCCTTTGAGCCAAAGGGCATGTGGGAGTTGTAGAAATGCTGTTTGACTTTGCAGTACTTCCAGCACAACCTCAGGAGAGACAGCTGTTAAATGGCCAGTGTTACTGGTGATTACCTGTTTTACCAGGGGATAGGTTATCCAGCTCCCTCATCTTAAGCAGCCATTGCACCCAGCAAACATCTTGGAGACTGATCAGACTTATCACAGTTAGAACAAAGAAAGCAGGGCCACTGCAGACTTAGCAATGAAATAAACAGTTCTTCTAGCATATTTACTACTGTAAATGCACAGAAAAAGAATATTAGGTGAAGCTGTGTCCAAGATTGGAACATGGTTTAACAAAGGGAAACGAGAGGGTGTTCACTGCAGAAAGATCACATGCAGAGAGGAAATTCTGCAGTTTAATGCCAGGTAAGAATAAATAGTTCAAATTTGCAAGCAGTGAGACATGATAACTTGTAACATCCAGCTCCATTTTTCTAGGAATACTGTTTATAAAGGACAAAGCTTTAAAGGTTTTCTGTATCAGCAGTCTCATTAAAAATACCATTTTATACTGACACCTTTCTGTAATCATTGCAAAATCCAGAAGATGGTTTTAATAGCAGCTTTCCTAAACAGCTTTTGCTTTGTATCGGCTGTCAGAGAATGACTGAGACCCTTTTGTAAAACAGACATGCCCAATTTTAAAAAGCCCACCGCTCCGCAATGCAAGACAACACACTTTCTGAGGAGAGAAATTATTTTAAATCAGCTTCCTTGTTTCTCCCTAGACTCAACTGCTGTACCAATGTCCGGGTTTTGGCTGCGATAGAGTTAGTTTTCTTCCTTGTAGCTGGTGCAGTGCTGTGTTTTTGACTTTCAGCCTGGGAACAACACAGGTAACACCAATGCTTTTAGTTGTTGCTCAGTAATGCTTACCCCAAACAAGGACTTTGTGAGTCTCATGCTCTGCCAGGAGGAGGGGAAGCTGGGAGGAAGCAGAGACAGGACACCTGACCCAACCTAGCCAAAGAGGTATTCCATACCACAGCACGTCATGCCCACTATATAAACTGGGGGGAGCTGGCTAGGGGGAACTTGCCGCTTGGTGGTGGGCTGGACACTGGTCAGTGGGTGGTGAGCAATTGTATTGTGCATCATTGTGTTTGGTTTTTGTTTTTTCGTTTTTCTTTCTTAGTTTTATATCACTTTCCTTGTTTCCCCCCCCCCCCCCTTTTATTGTATTGTACTTTATTTTAGTTATTAAACTGTTCTTAACCCATGCATTTTACATTCTGCTTCTCCTCCCCATCCAACCCAGGGGGTGAGGAAGCAGGGGTGGCACGTGAGCAAGCAGCTGCATGGTACTGAGTTACTGTCTGGGCTTAAGCCAAGACAAATGGAAATGCTGGTAGTTGCTATAACTTTGGGATATACAGTTATGCTTTGACGTTGCAACTACAAACATACAGCTTATTTATTTATTAGGGAGTGTCTTATGAAACTGAAAGACAACTCTGCTTAGGATCAATTTGGGCTCATGTTATAGGGTTGCACAAATGCACTGTGATTAACATGCTATTACCAATTTCTGTTCTGGAGAGCTGCTGTCAGTCATATCTGGATTTTTTCAAATATATGCTTTCAGGGGGCTAGAGCAGTGCTGGTCCCTCAACACAGATTGGTTTTTAGGTATGTTTCTGAGCCCACACAGCTAGGATGAGGGCCAGCATCATTAAGCGTACTGGTAAAATGTCTGTGTGGTGTCTGGTAACTGTATCACTATGAGGGTGGTGAGGCTCTGGCACAGGTTGCCCAGAGAAGCTGTGGCTGCCCCATCCCTGGCAGTGTTCAAGGCCAGGTGGGACACGGCTTTGAGCAACCTGGTCTAGTGGAACGTGTCCCTGCCCATAGCAGGGGGTTGGAACTGGATGAGCGTTAAGGTCCCTTCCAACCCAAACCATTCTGTGATTCTATGATTATGATTATGCTTCTGTTCAGTCCCAGAAATATGAGTTCAACTACTTACACATTAGTGACACCTGCTTGGGTAACTATTGAGGATAGATGCATTGAGACAAGATGTACAACAGCCCATACATAAACATATGCAAGAAAGGTACAAGCTTGATTTAGGCTTGGAGTGTTTGGTAAAATACTGCATACACAATGACCTGATAATTCACATAAGGAAGAAAAAGAGGAAAAAAGTAATCTGATGGGACAAACATGCCTTTCATAGCTGTCTTCAGACTGGAATGAGTGTCCTGCTTATTCATGTAGGTGAGAAGTTTTTAGGCAAGGCCCATACAAATTTTTGCCAGTTGTATGGATAAACTGTACAGTAAATCAGCTGCCAGCACATTTTCAAGAGGGAAAAATGATGGATAATGTGTAAAAATTAAGGTATATACAGTGTGTTTCTTTTCAAATAAAGAACATTCACTCCATCAGTAAGTCATATAATCAGTATGTCTGTAACCAGGCACTTCTGTTTTAGCATGCCATAGATGCTCCATGGACATAGGAACAATTCCAAGACTCCCAGGTCAGTACTTCACCACTACTACCTGTAGAGCTCTGTTTAAAAACAAATAAACCCCATGAAAGAGAAAGACAAAATCTTCCAGGAGCAGGATACAGTAATTTGCTCAGTGTTAAGGCAGCATGTGGGAAGAAGGCAGCAAAAGGTGGTTGCTGGAGAGAAACTCGGGAAGTAGCTAGGGCTCAGTGAGCAGATGGCTCCTTCCAGCAATCCTTGCAGTAAAGCTGAGCAGTCAGCCTCTTCCTCCTGCTGCCACACTTCTCTGTGCATGCCATCAAGAGAGACGCTGTACGTAAGGAAACCTCGAGCAGAGTATGTCAGCAGAGAGAAGGTGAGCACTCACAAAGAACCAGAAGGTGCTTCCTCATTTTTATGGCCATAAGAATTTCTTGCTATTATAAATACTGTTAAAAAAAAAAAAGAAGAAGAAAAAATAAATAAATTTTAAAAAGGACCCAGGGACTGAGACCATCTTCTCTCATAGTTTTGTTGTTGTTGTTGTGGTTTAACCCCAGCCAGCAGCTAAGCCCCATGCAGCCACTTGCTCACTCCTCCCAACAGGATGGAGGAGAGAATCAGAAGAATAACAGTGAGAAAACTTGTGGGTTGAGGTAGAGACAGTTTAACAGGTAAAGAAAAAGTCATGCACACAAGTAAAGCAAAACCAAGGAATTTATTCACCACTTCCCATGGGAAGGCAGGTGTTCAGCTATGCCCAGGAAAGCAGGGCTACATCATGTGTAACTGACATGGAAAGACAAATGCCACTTGTCACTTTGAACATCCTCCCTTTCCTCCTTCTTCCCTCACCTTTATATGTCAAACATTGTGTCATACAGCACAGAATACCCTGTGGTCAGTTGGGATCAGCTGTCCCTGTTGTGTCCACTCCCAGCTCCTTGTGCACCCCAAGCCTGTTCACTGGTGGGGAGATGTGAGGAATGGAAAAAGTATTGACTCTGTGTAAGCACTGCCCAGCAGTAACAAAACATAAATCTAAAACATAGCTCTATACTAGCTACTATGAATAAAATTAATTCTATCCTGGCCAAAAGCAGCACAGTTGTACAGCCAACTAGTTTGTGGGGTACACTGTAGGAAATGTTTCTTTTTTTCCTGGTCAGTTGCTCACTGCTGTGTGATGCTTCACTAGCTGTATGGTGATTGAAGGGCTTCGTAGAGGAGTAGGAAAGAGCAGGGGGAGAATGTGAAGAGTGAAATTGTAGGCTTAAAGTGTAGGTTTACACTAACAATAGTGTGTGTGTCTTTAAATTAACATAGTAGAATAGACCAAACTGTTCTAACTTGCTAACACATAGAGAGAAAGGAATGTTTGGCTGACGGGGGAAGGAACATCACAGAACTGATAAGAACTAAGGAGACAGTAAATAAGACCAAGGGTGCTGGTCTTCATGATAGCAGACTGGTGCCCATTGTGGAGCAAGACTGGAACAGAACAGAAGAAAACATACCAACTGCTAACTTGGCACTAGGACCTTGCGAATGTGCACAGGCTCTGTCGTCATTCAGTAAATGCTGTAAGATTATCGGCGACCAGCAGAGACCCCCATGCAGCAAGAAAGTGCATGAGTAATTACAGTTATTATAATTAGTTCCCAGAAATCTCATTAATATGTAAATCATTTTCCTGGAAACACTGGGAATACGCATGAATGCGCTGAATATATAGCTGCTGCCGGCAAGAAATGGATGCGGTCACCTTTGCAAAATGATTCGCGTGTGTGCCCAGTGCTGCAATAAAGAACGCCTGCTTTCTAAGACTCCAAATTGAGTCTTACAGAGTTTCTCCAACTGATTTTTACAGTAACAAAATCATACTGCTGCTTTGGCTGTGAAGATGCATGTATGCAGCCATACAGCTTGAATGGATCTATGGCACTGTTGCAGCTGGCAATCAGACAAGTTCCTTCCTGAGTGGAGCGAGTCACCTGCGACATGACCTGCTCCAGGGTCACATAAGGAATCAAGTGAGCTGCTGGCACTGATGGTCCTGGATCCGACTCTCTTGCCATTGGCTCTAATGCATGCAGTGCTCTTTAATTTCCTTGAGACAATAAGCTAGAAAAGGATACTGCAACGCTTGGAAAGGAAAGGCCTCAACATGAAGCAGATGTTGTACCAACTTCTTCAAATTACCCTTAAATTTCCACCAGATATCCTGCTTTCTTTAAATACATATCTCTTTTCCACCTATCTAGCAGTTCAGCAGCCAGCAGAATAGCTGTCACCTCATGTCTTTGGGCTTAGCTACGAGAACTTAACTGGTAAGCAGGGGAACATTTCATTTCTCTTCAGTTGTGTTGATGCAATGGACCTAGTGCAAATTGTTAATCTAAGTTTATTTCAAATTACTTCAGAAACATGAAAAAGGTGCAAGTCCGTCCATTTTACAGACACAGGGAGAGATTAAGCATTGTGCAGGAGACTCAGCCTTCATTTTTAGCAGAGCTCATGATAAAATCCAATGCACTGGCTCCCAGGTCTTCTGCTACAACTGCACTGTGGTGCCTCTTTTCTAAAGTAGGGACTTGGAAGTGTATGGAAGGATATATGAAATAATCAATTGTAATTATAAAATCTATTGTAAATTGTGCATACATTCAACACCTGCTCCGTTTATTGAAGTTGAGCATGAAGAAAGCATTCTTAAAAGGAGTAA